AAAAAAAAAAAAAAAAAAAAAAAAAAAAAGTTACATTTTCAGAATCAATTACTTTCTTCTCTTTATTTTTTATTTGTAAAATAAATATGATTCCAATTAGAATATATACCACAATAGAGGGTGTTTATGACTGTAATCTAAAACTGGGGTCAAAGTATCCTGATATCAGATTTCCCAAAACAGTGTCCTAATGGTATATGCCTGATGTCTGTGCTAAAGCGTTACTCCAAGTAGTCAGTGGATAGCAGCATGATCATCCCCTAGGAGCTACCTAGAGATACAGAATCTCAGGCCCCACCCCAGGCCTACTGAATCAATATTTGCATTTTAACAAGATATTCAGTCAATTGATATGCTTGTTAGAGTCTAAAAAGTATTGCAAAGGCTCTTTGCCTCAACTTTCCTTATGGCTATTGTTCAAGTTTAAAGTAAAGTACCAATTTGCAATCTTAAGTAAGGTCAGTATTATTTTTATTTTGTGAGTGTGGTAACCAAGGCAAGAGCAAGTTAAATAACTTGTACAAGTTCACACAGATAGTACAATGCAGAGCTGTAGTTCAACCCAGTTTTGCTTAACTGCAAAAGTCATGCTGTTTCTACCACACTTGTGACTACCAGCCACTGCTGGATGAATGAGTGTATCATCAGCATTTGTTTCTTTTCAGTCTCCACTTTTGTAGAGCTACATCTATATCTACATACATACATACATACATGCATGTGAGTATATACACACACAGCTTTAATAAATATATCATGCTGCTTTTTAAAAACATACTCTTTCCTATCACCACTTTTATGTATGATGATTTTAAAAATATTTTCCACAAGGTATTTTTCATGAGGATAACATAGTTGCCCTGTAAGAGTTTAAACAAATGTAGGATTTAGTTTGTATTCCTATTTATTCCTTTTTTGTGACAACAGACTGAATGTGTGTGTATGCGTGGGTGTGTGTATGTCTTTTGGGAACTGTTTCTTTAGTACTTAAGGGAACTGTAGTGGAAGGTAGTCATGGTCCTGGAACACAAGCTAATCTAGTCCCACAATGTGACTTTGTTCCAGGGTACAAAGTTATTTTAGAAGAATCAAAAATTGGGTATCTGAAAACCCAATGACCCTTGACAAATCAGCTTTTCCAGACCTAAAGGAGTCAGAGTGCTACACGGGGCCGTTCAGCCGTGCACGGATTCACCAGTGAGTTCCCATCTCTTTTCCACCTCCTACCTTTATACCTTTCATTATCTGAGGCTTTTTTTGTAGAAAAGTAGCTGGGAACATTTTCATTATTTACCAAAAGGTCAGAGAATGTATTATTGTATTAAAATATATGCTTACCTTATGATCAACACTAAGTGAACATTATTAATGCTGTATTAACTTTAAGTTTCAGAGAAATTTAAAGAATGAATAATTAATTGTAAACCTATGAGCTGGCAGTCTAGTTATTAATTCTTTCGAAATAATTACTATGGTAGTAAGTCACTTGGTTAAAATAATAATTGTGATAATACTAATAATAGGATGGCTATTAATTAGCATGTTTTAATAATACATTGTTCTAATTAATAAACTGGTATGACTATAATTGCATTTAATTGACATATATTCACTAATTAAATATCCATTTTAGTTTAATCTTATTAAACTAAAGGGAATGAGAATTTTTTTAGAGATTTGATTCATGACTCTCTGTGTGCCTACCTATCTACATGTCTGTTTATTTATTCATGTATTCATTCAGCTAGTATTTATCGAGTTTCTATGTGACATACATTAAGGATATAAAGAGGATTATGACACAGTTTCTGTCTTCATGGAATTCCCATCTAATGGGGCAGATAAAATGTAAATTTATAATTCAAAAGGGTAAACATAAAGATAGAGAAATGCACAGTGCACTAAAGGACTGTGACTGTAGGGCCTACTGTGCTGTACGCCATTCCAGATTGACCTGTATTCTGGGATGTGAGAAGTTGAAGGGAAGGATGACACAGAACTCCAGATCACCAAGCATGTAACATAGCTAGCAATCAATGGGAAACTCTCTTCTTCCAAATGTTCTATTTATTCCATTATTTATTCTTGAAGGTGGATCTAGAAGCATCCTTTCTAATTCCAGCTATAGGGAGTGGGGGAAAGACTGGAAATCCAAAGGAATCCAAATTAGAGAGAAATCGCAGTTTCATGGAAGCTTCTTCAGCTTTCTGTTGCACTTTTTGAGGACCTTTGAGGATCTATAGTGTACCAAATAAAAAGCATTCTGCTTTCTTTTTTAAAAAAACACCCAAGAAACCAGCGTTATCTCTGGAAAAATAACAGATCATACAACTACCTGCTTAACCCCCCAAATAGCCCTCCATTTGTACTTTTAATAAAATTCGGATTTCTTAGCATCTACCATATAAAAAAACAGATCATACAACTACCTGCTTAAACCCCCAAATAGCCCTCCATTTGTACTTTTAATAAAATTCGGATTTCTTAGCATCTACCATATGGGCATAAATGCTGTAGTCCCAATCATTTCGTCTTCTACATTTTCCCCACCATTTACTCACTCCAGCCATACAAGCCTTGATTCTAACATCAAAAGCTCAAACTTAGCCCCAACTTAGAGTCTTTGTTCTTGCTGTTCTCTTTATTGATATGCTCTGTCCCCAGATCTTTGCATGGCATATTCCTTGTTATTATTCTAGTCCCACTTAAACATCACCACCTCAGAGAGACTTTCTCTGAACATGCTACCTATAGTCCCCTTGTTCCAGTCATTCTCTATGCCATTGTGCTGTTTCATTTTTCTTCATAGCAGTTATATGAAATTATGTTATTTATTTATTCGTTTACTTATATATCCTATGTTTCATGCCTCCATAATGTAACTTTATGAAAACAGGAACTTATCTGCTTAAGAAATATTTTCTCAGGGAATGCTGAAACAATCTGATGGTGAATGAAGCAGGTGGACATTCCTTCTGGTACCCTATGTTTCATGCCTCCATAATGTAACTTTATGAAAACAGGAACTTATCTGCTTAAGAAATATTCTCTCAGGGAATGCTGAAACAATCTGATGGTGAATGAAGCAGGTGGACATTCCTTCTGGTACCTACAATTAACACGACCCTGAATTTGATGCATCCAAGTACAGGGCTAAAAATTTCAATATCAGAGTACTGGAAAAACTCAGAGTTTAATAAAATGGATAGAGGTACAGATTAACATAAAACAAGGCAGAGTAAAATCAACACATTGGGAAAGATGCAAATAAAATGCACATATGTAAGACAGGGAAAGCCGCATCTAGAGGAGAGAATACAGGAAGCCTTTTTGAAGGAGATAGCCCTTTTTCAGCAGGTAAAAATATGAGGAGAGGGGGGCAGAGGAGGGGGAACAGATATCAGAGACAAAGCAGAACATAGAGGAAAATAAGCATGGGATTTTAAGGTGATGATAGATTACACAATTTGACAGATGATCAAGATACAATAAGCCAGAGCTATAAGTAAAACTGTGGGGTACATTGGAGTGCAAGTATAGGGAGCCTCGGACGAAAATAAGAAATTTAATTATGCTTTTAATGGAGAGACGCTGACCCACTGAAAGTAGAGGAGTGTTGTAAAAATTGGAGATGTACTCTAAAAGTCAGGTAGAAATTTGTATGGCAAGTTAGGAGGACACCCTTCTCATAATCTAGGCAAGACGCAATGAGACCCAGAACAAGAAGGGTAGTGTGAAAGCTGAAGGAGACAGTTCAGTTAGAGAAGTTAGTTTGGCAACTGTCTGATTATGGAGGTTGAAGAGGAAGAAAGATCATAGGAGACCTAATGCTTTAGGACCAAGTGCCTGACAAGATGATGATTTATCATTCTCAGAGATGAAGCACCTGGAAACAGGATGTGTCAGAAGTTGAGTGAGGCCCAGGAAACTTTCATTTTTTTGAGGCTCCCAGCATACTATATAGTTAATGCTAAAACAGCCCCTTCCTTTCCTCTTGGGATCACCCTTTTGCTGTTTTCATCATTGGCTCTCACAAGGTCCCTCCTTGCTACTTTTCCTATGTGGGGACAACATACAACACCAAGGGGAAGGAAGGACTATAGCTTATTGCCAAAGTTCTTAAAACAAGATGAGCTGGATTGGAAAGTGTGGTATAGAGGAATGAAATCGATTTTTAATGTGTTCTATTTGGAACTACATTGCTTAAGGTAGTAAAATTTTATGGGAGTTAGTGGACAATCTATTCTCTCGTTTTTGTCATGCTAAACAAAATACAAGGACACCTCGTCTTCCTTATAAACTGAAAGAAGATACTAAAGTGAATACTTAATAATGCCCTGTATTATTTATGAGTGTATTTTTTTTCCTCTGTCAATTTTTTTTCTTAAAGAGTATGATTTCTCTTCTTATTTACTATAATTCATTTGTATTAGCTTAATGGAGAAAACAGATGAATGATTACCCAGGATTATTGTCGTTGTTGTTGTGTTCTGTGCTCTTCTTTGAATATTAAAACTAATTCCCACATCTTAACAGCTTCAGAATAAACAATAAGGACACGTTCTTCAGCAATGCTACTCGAAGCAGGATAGTCTATCACATGCTGGAGCGCACCAAATATGAAAATGGGATATCAAAAGTGGGTAAGAACATTAATTAAAAACTTAGAGAAAATAGAATTTGCTGATACTAGTTATGCTGAATTATTGTTTGTTTTTTAAGTGAAACTTTGCTTTTATTCATTAGTGTGTGAAACACATTGAACACAAACTCTATAAACATACTATTTTGCAGCCTTTCAATAAAAAAACAGGGGAAAAACCCCCCAAAACTAAGAGTATTTGCCATATATATCAAAATGTGAAGTGTGCAAACACTTTGGAACAGAAATTTTATTTCTTAAAATTTATCCCAAAGGAATAATCAGACTTTTGAACAACGATTTACATAGAAATTGTTTTATCATGGCTTTTTTTTGTAATAGAATAAAACAAGAAGTACCTTAAATGTCCATCATTAGGCACTGACAAATAAGGTAGGCTTCATCTATATAATCGATCTATTAAAAATTATGTGACATGAATTCACTCAACACAAATTTAACAAGCATAGACCCTTTACTCATGGAGATTGAAAATTATTAATTAATTCTCTATTTATTGACTTTAAAAGATAGCTACAATGCATTCTCAAATTTAAAAAAAGCAGATTAGAGTACTATAAGTCTAATGTAATTTCATTTCCTAAACACACATATATAAAAAGAAAACAAATCTATAAGAATATGTAAGAAACTTTTTAGAGAATATTTCTGGAAGGTGAAATAACTAATTTTAACTTTCTAAATTTCTTTGTTGTTGGAGTGTTTAGCAGTATGCTGCAACATGGATATACAAAAAAAAAATTGAGAACATTTCACCTAGAAAAAGTAAATAAAATTTCAAAGTTTACACAGAGCTGAGCAGGAAACAAAGGGCAACAAATGAGCTGTAAAGATGAAAGTACAAGGTGCCAAAGAGACCAAACGTTAGTCATGACCTAAAATTCTTGAAAATAAAAAGTTAACAGCCAGTGAAAACTTGTATCAATCACTACTGATTTGTGTTAAAATGGATTACCACATAAGTAAAATGAGCTGTTTCATTTACGTTCATTTTAGAGATAAGCTTTCAGACTCTGATTCTCTTCTGATTAATAATTCATTTATTTCTGAGCATTCAAAATAGTTACCTTAAACATCAAAACCTTATCCCCCCAAATTAAATTTAGTCAGAACATTTTTAAAGAAATAAAGATAGAGAAATCCAGAATATATACAAAAAAATGTGTCTAAAGGAGAGCACTATGCTCTTATGTAGACTTTGAAACAAAATATGACACTTTAAATGATTATAAGGGTATCGTGTCTTTGTAGAAAGTACAGTAAATGTAGAAGTGTTAAAAATGAAATAAAAAATTATTCCTAAATGCAATCGTCTATTGTTGCAGTTACAAATGTGTAGTATGTGTTATGTGGGTATGTATACATATATACATGCATCAAAATTAGAATCATACAGTGTTTACAGTTTTATATCCTGTTTTTTAAAAATTACTGTTATGTGTATTTTCTCAAGTTCTTAAGTACTGTTTGAAAACTTAATTGTAAATAGCTATACAATATTCTATTATAAGCATTCATCAAATCACAATTACTTACTAAGCACCTGATATAATTGGTTGTACCACAATAATTGATTCCCCAGTTTTGAGTGTGGAATTATTTAATAATTCTTTGCTAATATAAGTAATATTGCAACAAAATTGCTCTCCAGAAAAATTTTTCCAAGATCTGTTCTTACCAGAACTATATGAGAGTATCCATTTCACTATACCCTCCCTGAGATGGAGGAGGTTTTAATGTGTCTTACATTGCTACTTATGTCTCTTTGGCTTAGTATTAAATAATTAAGGATTTCTCAATACCAATGCCCTTTTGAGATATTTTTTTGGTGGCATAGAATTCTTCTTCTTCCTTGTTATTTTGAAGAAAAACAAAGTTGTTCCTGGCTTATGTGCTACCACATAAGCGGGTATTAAAGTGATTTCATGATATGGCAAAATGACACATATGTTGGCACCTTGCAAATCTCCATTTACTAATATTGTAAAGACACAGCTAGACTCAGTATTAGTCTCTTTCACAATCTCATTGCCCTTATAGGTGATGTGGCTATGGAAGTGATTTGGGTTATTTTAAATTTTTTAATTAATTTATTGTTTCAAATATATGTATGTTACTTCAGAGAGAAATTTTCTCTTTAATTCAAGAACTGTTCTTTTCTTCTCTTTCCAGGAATCGGTAAACTTATAAGCAATGGCTCATATATAGCAGCGTATCCTCCACATGAGGTAATTTTGAAATACAGTTTCCATTTTTAAACAAAAAAAGATTTTCATGCTCAGTGCTTGATCTCATTGTTGTTGTTGTTGTTGTTGTTGTTGTTGTTGTTGTTGTTGTTGTTTTTTGTCTTTTTTGAGACCGGCTGCACTGGGCTCAGCCAGTGAGCGGTGACCAGCCATCCCCATATAGGATCCGAACCCGCAGCGGGAGCTCTGCTGCTGTGCTCCCAGAGCTGCACTCTCCTGAGTGCACCACACATTGTCTTCATTTGAGTCTGGCTGCCCATCCCCAGAAGGTTTCATCCAAGTGTTCCTGGGCCCTCTGAGACACCACTATAACCTTGTGGCAGCAGACTGGCTCCACTGCTCCAAAACCCTTCTGCAATTTGCACCGTATCAGTAACTCCAGTCTCAGAGAGAACACTCATGGCCTCTGCTCCAACACAGAGCTTCTCACTTGATCCAGCTTGAGATCCACACCACTCCAAACAGGGCAGATTCCTGGTTTGCGCCTACTACTTTGGGATACCTGAAAATCTAAAACAAGCCCACAACAAAAACCTATAGCCCATTAGCTACTTGATTCTCTGCCAGGTTGTTACCTTCCTACCAGTTTTAAATAGAAGTGGCTTCTAAAAACTGTTGGGCCCTTCCTACCATGAATGACATTATCAGTTTTAACTCCCCCTTCCCTCTTCTCTGTATTCTTGAATTCTTTCTTTAAGGCAATTTCACATTTTAAAATAAGAATGGGTCTTTAGAGGTTTTACTTCTGAACTTATCACTCTTTTGTTCATAAAGTTAAGACTGAAGACTCACAGGACATAGTACTTGAAGAATTTGAAGTCTGGTATAACTAATAGTAGATAAAATGTACTGAGCACTTCCTATTTGTCAGTGAGCTAAATGTTTCATCTAGAATATCTACTTTAATCCTTGCAACAACCCTTTGAGATAGACAATAATATTAACTCCGTTTTATATATAGGCAATTGAGTTACAGAAAGGTTAAGTATCAAAGGCACAGTTTTAAGCCCAGGAAGCCAACCTCCAGTGTTTATATTCATTATGTACACCTACTTATAGTAAGAATAGAAATAATAATAACAGGCAGTGTGTTTGGTGTTTCATGCACTGGGCCCTGTGTATGTATTTTCCTGCTACTCTGACAATAACCCTGGAGGGATAAATATTATTATTCCCATTTTAGAGATGAAGAGACAAAGCTCAGCAAAATTAAACACTGTGTCCAATACTATATAGAGTGTTAAGAGTAGCAAACTTAAGGCCCAGGAAGAGCCTCTGTAGCAAAGAAACGTTTGATTTGTCCTTTGTGTAATTTTCTCTATGTAATTAGGCTGTGTTCTGACTGTTCATTTGGCAGTTTTTTCATGCATGAAATTGGAACCTATTATAAACTGGTTATAAATAATGGTTGGTGCATGAAATTGGAACCTATTATAGACTGGTTATAAATAATGGTTGTTTTCTCATTTATGCTTATAATTTAGTTGAAATGTATGGAGCACATACACAAAAATAATAGAAAACAGTATTGTTGAAATGCAAATAAATAAAACAAAATAGAAAGTCAATAAAAATGCATGAAATTGGAACCTATTATAAACTGGTTATAAATAATGGTTGTTTTCTCATTTATGCTTATAATTTAGTTGAAATGTATGGAGCACATACACAAGAATAATAGAAAACAGTATTGTTGAAATGCAAATAAATAAAACAAAATAGAAAGTCAATAAAATGGTCTCAGGAATTTTCTATTGATTTTAAATGCTCCTAATTGAGAGAAGAAAAACAAGGCTTACTAAGAGGAAAATGGAGTCAGTGGCACTGACTATAATTTCATTCAGGACTCTTCACAATCTACGGCTTTCTTCTTCTTCTTCCTTGATGCAGGAGATGAGTGTCAATTTTATATTTTTTACCCCTAGTTTGGATTTGTTTTTTATGCAGAAAAAGGACCATGGATAGAGGGGAGAGCATCACATTTCGGCTGGAATTTGGCATGAAGAGAAAAAATAAAGGGAACAAGAGAAAGTGTTTGCTTAAGATATTGATAGGATTTATAATTTTATCAATTATGAACAGTGGAAACAGGGGGAAAGTGTGTCAGTTGCAGGAGGGGGCCACTCCTGGTCATGGTGGGGATAACTGAGTGTACATGATCCTTTGGAAAGGCACAAATATACGTGAGTGAGCAACAGGAATCACTTCGCTCAGTTTTCTCTGGCAGCCCACCCCATGTCACTGTCAAGCCAGAATAGTGTCGCCGATTGAGGTTATTGAGTGGTTAGGACAATGATGCAGTAGGTATTCTAAAGTTTAGCATCTAAAACTCAGGAAGCACCTACACTCCGACCACTAAGGCTGGGAAGAATAGTAATGTATTTTAGAAGAATTATCAGGAGTGGTTGGAATAAAGCTGAGATTTTGGCTCACCTTCCCTTACCCATCCAATCTCAGAGCAGTCTACCAACCCTAACAGGTCATTTCAATTTCACATGCAAACATACTTTCCCAAGGGAATGTCCCCATGCTTAGAATCTAGATCTTTGCTTCCATCTCTCTAGCTTCCAATCTGTAGGCTTTAAACACTTTGGGGTACTTTAGAGAAAACGACTCGGGAGACTGTACTCTATACTTTCACCCTTACCTAATTAATTTATCTATTTTGTTAGACAGCCAGAGGTAGCATGCACACCTCTCTCATTGCAACCTCGAGGCACCTGCAAGCCATCATTCCAGGTGTCCTTTTCCCTCATAGGAACTCACAGTCCTGGTTGTCTGGGAACATTCTTATGACAGTTTATACTATTCCGTGGCCACAATATATCAAGTCAAAAAATGACTAACATTAACTGCGTATTTCCTATGAGCCAGGCACTTTATAAGGATTATCCAAGTGGGTCTTTATCAAATCCCTCTGTACTGGGTATCATTGATATTATTCTTATCCCCATCATCTAGGTGAGGAAACTGAGGCATAACTCCACTTACTTTGAATTTTCATCAGACTTTTTATAAAAGCACATTTATACACTGGAGTGAGAAAAGTGACTTTGTCATGCCCTATGTGCTTAGTTTAGATTCAGAAAATATATAGTCACTGTATCTATTGCTCTCTTTCTTGATTATAAAAGCAGGGAAGTTCAGTTTTCAGGGAACATTTTCCTCTATAAGTCACCGTATATGTTCTGTGACTCTGAAAATGTAACCCATTTGACAGATTTTTAAGAGGATATAAAGAATTTGACAAAATCCTTTAATTTTGAAATATCGTATCTGAAGTAAGTTTTAGGTATTCTAGGGCTTAAAAGGCTGACTAGTACTGGTAGGTGAAGCCTCTTACACTTTACAAATAAGCACTTACTCTTCTTAGCGTCTATAAATTGAAGAAACCATTTCTGGGACTGGGTCACTTCTTAAAGCCGAACAATTTTCTTAATTTCTGAACCAAAGTTTACAACAGTTTCTCTCAGTGATGGAGAAGATATTATGTTTATTACAAGACCTTAGGTTCCAAACAGTGAGCCTGAAGTCTAATTTTACTTTAGGTTAAATGGATCCCATTGGTTTAAATAATAA